TTTATGGAAAAATAGCCCAGAATAACGGAACTATGATTTTTACAATCCAATGAAACACACTGAGTGATATTTCTGCCTTAGACGATGGTCTAATTTTTGATTTTTTTTCTGGAAATCTAGGAAACCTGGAGGAATCGAATATTTTCTTATTTATTAAGGAAGCTTTTGGCTTCAACATAAAATTTTGATGAAAAATAGCCCAGGATAACGGACCTATGATTTTTTCAATCCGATAAACACACTGAGTGATGTTTCTGCCATAGAGTCAATGGTCTGGTTTTTGATTTTTTTTCTGGAAACCTGAGGAAACCAAATATTTTTCTATTTATTAAAAAATACAGGGTGGCCCCATTTTTTGCAGCAGGACTTCAACAGCTTAGAGAAAAAGTAATTTTAATACAAAAATTTCATATAAATATATAGGGTGTTTCCTCGGGTGTTTCACGAACATCGAAACAGAGGCGTTTTAGGGTATTTTAAAGTCGATTTGAAAAAAAACGCGTCATTATTGTATTCAAGGGAAATTTTTTTTGACCCCATTGGTATTTCGCTAGGGTGCAGCCACTGGGTGGGGTGACTTTTACCCCTCTTTTTTAGATAGGGAAGATGGGTCGAGTGTTACCTTGTTTTAAAGGTATTTTGATTCTCGTCACAACTGTGTACTTTTTTTGAAAATCGAATGATTAGTTCTCAAGATAGTAATAGTCACTGTCAAAGTTGCCATGGGCTAAATAGGAAACAATCTTCTGGCCCTGTTATTCTCAAATTAACACTTTCCTGACTTTCACTTTCCTGTCAGACGCGTCAATTTTCTTTTTTTGTGTACTTCCGAAAAAACTAGAATTGACGCGTCCGAAAGGAAAGTCAGGAAACTGTTAATTTGAGAAAAACAGGGCCAGAAGATTGTTTCTTATTTAGCCTATGGCAACTTTGACAGTAAATATCTTGCGAACTAATCATTCGATTTTCAAAAAAAGTATACAGTTGGTACCACACTCGACCCATCATCCCTATCTAAAAAATAGGGATGAAAGTCTCCCCACCCCTGGGGGTGCACCCTAGCCAAATACTCATGGGGTCAAAAAGTTTCCTCCTTAAATACAAAATTGACGTATCCGAGCGTTTTTTTAAATCGACCTTAAAAGACCCCAAAACGCCTCTGTTTCGATGTTCGTGAAACACCCTGTATATGCCCGGACGGTATAGGTTTGAATTAGAATTAGAATCTGAAATTCAAATAAAATACGGAAAGCAATTTAGGAATTTCAATTTGGGCGCTGTGTACTGCTTCTTGGACACTCTGTATGAAATATTCCCAAGTAGGTATGTTTAGACCAAACAATTTTTGTATTACAGGATTTTTGTTAAACTGATGAGGGTCAAAATATAGTGAACATCCTGTGCTAAAACAATATAAACTTCAACATCAAAAACTCCTGTATAAAATATTCGAATTATTTGTATATATTTTCTTAAAAGAGATAGTAATCGAGTTTAAAAGGCACTCCAATCTTCTACCTGGTTGCTTTTTATATAATGGGGTTTTAATCACTCTTACTAGGTCTAGGTACCGTCAAACGGGGTGACTCTGGACTACGGGTTGACTTGGGACACTTGGGCGCGCGCTTCCATAAAAATTGGCAACAGGGGTGAGCAAGGTGGGAGGTCAACATAAATATTCTGGGGATTAGCATACACTTTGAGGTCTTTAATACACCTAATGCGGGCGGCACCGGGTGAGTCTTTACAGCGACAAAAAATTTGTTTTCAAAGTATAGAGAATCGGTGTTTTTTCAAACCGCTACAATTGTTGTCTGTAAATATATCAAGGTAAGTGATGACATGTATGTTTTATTTATTTTTTTGTCCGCTAATATGTTGTTAAAGATGTAATAAGGTCGTTTTTGCTCAGAAATTTTTATTTATTTTTTTGTGATAGAAAATCTGATTGAATGCACTTTTTAGGGTGACTCGGGACATGCCTCGTAAATATGTTAGGAGGCTTGGCGCAAGGCCATATCAAAATTACGACAAAAAAAGACTTGAAATGGCCGTTAGGGAAAGGTTAGCGAAACAAACAAGTTATAGAGAGTTAGAGGAACGGTATGGGGTATCCAGAAATACCATTAATCAGCATGTCATCAAACAAAATTTAAAAAAACCTGGGGGTCAATTGGCCTTAGCTGAAGCAGACGAAAAAAAAATAGTGAATTCTTTGTTGTGTGTTGCCGATTGGGGATTTCCCTTAGAACCAATGGATATACGGATTTTGGTAAAACAATACTATGACAGAATGGGTGTAAACATAAAAAGATTTACAAATAATATGCCAGGGCCGGACTGGATGAAATCATTTTTATTGCGCCACAAAAATAATTTGGCTTTAAGACTTTCCGAAAACATTAAACGAGCAAGGGCTGCAGTTGACAGGCAAGCAATAAATGTCTATTTTGATGAACTAAACTTATCTCTAGAAAACATTCCTCTTGCGAACATCGTGAACTATGATGAGACAAACTTCACGGACGATCCGGGCCGTCAGCGTGTCGTTATTCGCAGAAGCAACAAACATGCAGACCGTATTCTTGATTCCAGTAAAACATCAACATCAGTCATGTTTGCAATTAGTGGATCTGGTGTAATGTTGCCGCCATACGTGGTGTTCAAATCAGAACATCTCTATGAAAACTGGATAAGAAATGGACCACAGGGTTCTAGATATGGAAATACAAAAAGTGGATGGTTCGATTCAAATCAATTTGAACAGTGGTTTTTGACTATAGCATTAGGCTACTTCCGAAGACTTGAGGGGCCTAAGGTTGTAATAGGCGATAACCTGAGTAGCCACATCTCCCAAAATGTCATCATGGAATGTCAAAAAAATAATATCAGATTCGTTTTGCTACCTCCCAATAGCACCCACCTTACACAACCTCTGGATACAGCATTTTTTAAACCACTCAAGCAATCGTGGAGAAAAATTTTGTTAGAGTGGAAGAAAAAAAATAAAGGAGTACTCCCAAAACCTGAGTTTCCAGGCTTATTAAACAAAGCTTTGGATAATATTGGAGACAAGCTAGAAGACAACATAAAGGCTGGATTTCGTTGTTGTGGTCTTATTCCACTCGACAGGGATCAGGTCTTGAAACGTCTACCCCCAGAGCCTGTTCGAGAAGATGAGGGCCAACTAGCTTGGACCGAAACGCTCACAGACTTTTTAAAGAACCAGCGAACTCCAACAAACCCAGCAAAGAAAGGTAAAGGAAAGAAAATTCTAGTAACACCCGGTAGAAGTGTGACATGTGAAAGAAGTTCTGACTCCGATTCTGACAATAGTGAAATGGAGATGGAATTAAATAGAAGTGAATCTGATGATAATGGGAGCATACAAGACATAGAGTCTGAGGGAGAAGAAAGAAATCAAAATGAAGATGTGGAAAACCTGGAAGAAGAGCCAGAGGAAGTGACTGATTTGCACATTGAAGATTTTGCAATTGTAAAATTTACAGACGGAAAGTTTTCGAAAAATTTTGTGGGAAAAATTTTAGACAAATCTGGTGACCAAATAAGAATCACTTTTTTAAGAGAACATTCGAAAATAGAAAATGGCTTTGCTTTTCCAATAGTTCCCGATGAATCCACAGTAAACATTTCCCAGGTTTTGAAAATACTTCCAAGACCTGTGGAACTGCGAAGAGGTGCAGTTAAATTTCCATTCCAAATAAATTTGAAAAATTAGGTAGACCCATTATTGTTATCGAAAGAAATGACCTTTTTTTTTATAATTTCTTGTGTAGAATTTTTTTTATTTTGTTCAAAAATCAATAAAAATAATGTTTACTTTTTTAAAAATTTCTATTTTTGTCCCGTCTCACTCCAGAAACGCCTTACAATGGTTTCTAGTGCTAAATAAGTGCTTGTCCCTAGTCACCCCGAAAACGGGGTGAAACGGGACAATTTTCAAAATTTAAAAAAAAATATTTAAGATTTTCGAAAAAATATTATTTTTAGCATACGTGTTCCCAAAATATGTAGAAACATGTAGCCACCTTAAAATTGCCATTTACTAATTCTGGTCATGAAATATTCACAAAAAAGTGTCAAATCCGTCCTTAGTCACCCCGTTTGACGGTACCTATAGAGATTTGTAGGTAACCAATGCTATAAACAATGGTAATTTGACTATTTTCAGGTACTGAAACCTTCTCATAAATACAGCCTCTTGAATAAAACAGTCAATTGAAGTCAAAAAGTGTTGAAGTGTGGACTCAAAAAGTGAAAACATTGGTTGCAGTTATCTTGGTAAGTTTTTATTTCTCAATTTATGTTTTTCTTATGCTTATAATTATTTTGTACCATTAATTTTTTTACTGTGTTGGATTCTTTAATTCAATAAAGTCCAATTTTTATGCCTATACAGGGTGTCCGGAATAACTTGAAGTAGGTACATGGGGATTTTGGAAATCTTTGAAGATACAGGGTGGGCGAAATGGGGGAAAAGTTGCGCAGTCAAGTGCCTACAAATAATCTGTCATCAACTTCTTTGAACTCGGAATAGCAACGGATATACAGGAGAAAAAAAGGGGGATTTTATAAAATCCTTTATATCCTGTTTATTATAAAAGATATACAATCAAGAATTTTCCAGGATAGGTGTAGAACTGGAATGTACCCTGTGTTTTTTAGCTCTGATATCATTTTGATAACTTGTGTATTATGTAGTACAATTGTTTATATAAATAGGAGATCAAAATGATATCAAGCATAAAAAAACACACATGTAATGTACGATACTAGGATTTTATAAAACGAACTTTTTTCTTTTTCTCTGTCTATATCCGTTGCTATTCCGAGTTCAAAGAAGTTGATAGCAGAATATTTGGTCCACCCTGTATCTTCAATGGTTTCCAAAATACCCATGTAGGTATTTCAAGTTATTCCGGACATATACTTAGACTTCAAGTATGTTAATATTATTTTAGATTGTGATAAAACAAAAGATGGCTCCAAGTGTGAAAATTGTTGACAGCATAGATGGTAGTTCTGGAACGAGTTTCGAAGCTGCTTTGGGAATGTTGGAAGCTTCAACAGTGCTTTGCAAAAGTAAAAAGAAGGATGGTCATTCCTCAAATAATTTGCTATCAAAAAGTCGCCAGCCAATTAAAAAAATAGATTCAGCAAATGAGGATTTGAAATACAGAAAAATCAAGGAGGAAAGTTCTAGATCTAAAAAACGAGAATCTAGCTTGAGCAAGAAGAAGACTCCTTACAAATCAGAACATGATAAAGAGAATTCCGATCAACCTACTGGTTATAGGAAGGAAGATAAACCTGAAAGGAATATTAAGATAATTATTAGATCATATTCAGGGGAGGACAACCACCATTTTGAGAAGAAGTTAGGAGATATAAACAATGAAAATTCTAAAAAGAGAATATCCAAATCTCACAAAAAAAGTGTGGAAAAACACACTTTGAGTGATTATAATAATAAGAATAAATCCACGAAGAAAACTTCCCTCGAAAAGAAGGATACCAGAAAACGGCATAGAGATCCTTCCGTAGACCCAGAAGCTAAGAAACGGAAACTTGATCACACAAATACAAGCAAGTGTAAAAATGACACCAGTGAGAATTATAATCCATATTCCAGAGGCCCGAGTGGTAAAATAGATTTCGACCGACTGATAGAATCTGGTACAGTGAGCCTTTCAGACGCTATGGACTTGCTGTTAGACTCTGTTCCAGAGATTGCTGATGTATCATTGAACAACCAAAAACGACGATTGGTACAAGGTCCCGAAGCTTTAAGTCGAGTTAATGCTGCGAAACATAATCAGTAAGTAAATTAGGTACCTATACTGATTTCTTTTTAAATAAACTTTGGAAAAAAAAATGTCCTGTCCCCTTCCAAAACCAATATTTATGGTGAAAATTGTTACTTATTGAACTTTTTCTTTTAGAAACACACTGTATGCAGAACATGAATCCGCTCCCACCAAAGTACCTAGTCTCGTCAATATTTGCAATGCATTTTTTCAAGACAATTTGAGTTTGATAGGGTATACCGGTGGAGTACCATACTCAGTCATGAAACCCATTTTGCAAAAGGCTACTACAGGTGAACTTTATCGTATCGAGTTTAACAATCAATATTTGCTAAACGGACAAACAGATGAGCTATGGGAGCTGCATTGCAGAAGGGACTTGCCCTACAGAAAAAAGTTGTGTTGGGAGAGTTATAGGGATATGTATATCCGATACGAAATGGAGAGGCTGACAAACTTAGGAGTTTTGACAGGAAATACAAATAAACAGGGTTGATAGCTGAAAATGGTATGAAGGACTAGTCTGATACCAGAAAATGCTCACCAAAGAGGCTAAGACTAAGGAATTTTAATTTTGTCTGTTAATTTTTATAAGTGTGTTCTAAATTGATAGTGGAAACTTCTATACAAAAACCTATTTTGATATAATTAAATCTTATTAATTTTGGGTCATTTATTTTTTTTTCTGAATTTCTCAAGTGTCTGTCGTAGAGCGATACCTACTTGCCTGTTATTAGTCACCTTTGCTACAGGTTAATAACAGGTAACCAGTGAATCTCTGACATCTCAACTTTTCGGTATCTTTATTGTTGTTGTCAAAAGAGGCCAGCAGGTAAGTAATAAATAAAGGGGGTAGCTAGAAATTTTTCTGAAGTTAATGATGATATTTTGGCATGTCGTTTGTGGATAGTCTGTTGAGTAGAATCTAAGTTTTCGACCTCGAGGACCCTGTACTAACTTGGGGGTAAGTCGAAAGACCTAGAAATATTCGAACTTTTTCAGTTTTTCGCTTATATCTTCTAAATCATTTGTTTTCAGCGGATTACATAATGGAAGTTTTTCAATTTAATATACATAATTGAAAAACTTGAAAAAGAAAAAAATTACTTCCAAAAATTTTAGAGTGAAGCAGAAATTCGAAACTTTGAGCTCTGTTCTGGGGATTCCAAAAGAAGTCTTAAATTTAAGAAGTTTCCAAAATTTTGGGAATTTTCTTCATCACATCATTTAAATATTTGAAAATTATAATTTTTACTTATTCCTCAATCAGCAGAAACTTAAATCATAATAAATCGAAGCCATTATAAGTCTCAGTCTCTAGTGTTCTTTCTTTAGATTTTGAGAGCAAATCGTGAATAATGAGACATTGAGACATGGGATTCCAAAGAAGGTACCTATTCAACGTCTTATATTTTCACTTTCCAGTGCTGTGCTTTGGAATCTTTGAAATATTTTAGTTTTAAGTCATGAACTTTGAAAACCTTGGAAGTTTTCAAAATTTTTGGATTTCAACTTTTTTTTCAGTCTTTTTAGAATTTCCAAAGACTATAGTGTCTCAGGTCTTTAGTCACCCGTTTCATTTTTCGAATCTTGGGAAAAGAGGCTTCAAAATCCTCAGAATCTATGAATTCTTTACTCTTTAGTATTGTGACTCAAAAATAATTAGTCTTGAGCTTACTTCCAGAATTTTTGGAGCTTTTAAGGGACTGACAGTATTGAATTTTAATTTTTCTCAGCGTCTTTATAATTTCCTAAGACTACTGTCTCAGGTTTTAAATCACCCGTTCTGCCTTTAAAATCTTGGTAAAAAAGGCTTCAAAGACTTCAAAATCAACAAATTCTTTACTTTTCAGCACACGGAAAAAAAAAGTATATGGAAACCAAAAATTTCGAGGTTTTAGTTATGGTTAACAACGCGGAAAAACATTCAGGTGCACAGTAGACATATATCGTCTGTAGATGCACGTGAAAGAGATGATAATAATATAATTAAATATGTTCATTCTATGCTTGGTTTGAATTATTGTGGTTGGCCGGAAGAAATTTTTGACAAGTTAAGAATTTTTCTGTATTTTTGAACCACTATCTATCAATTTAACTCAGGTTTTATTCAAGTTAAAAGTGAGAATAAATGAGGAATCCGCATTTCCACCCTTATCGCAACTATTACGAAGCAAGAGTAAAACTTCGCAATGTCTAAAAGGGTTTACACCAGGTCATACAGCGATCATGACCCCCAGTACAACCCCACGACGATATAGCGCCCAACTCGATGGTACGAACACCCAAAATGAAAACCCTGAAGGATCTGCACCGCTACACTCCACGATTTATGGAGGAACTTCAACACAATTTGTCAGAGAACATACTTATTACAATGGCTTTTTCGCCAAAAGAAATAGTTGTAGAATATGAAATTGCAATTCATAACGCAGTGACTCTGACGTTGAACGACATTAAAATTACTGGCACAAAACATTACTGGCTGCAGAATTCATTTGACCCAAGCATGGTATTGTCAGATTCAAAAGCTAGGTTTAACTCAGGATTAAGAAGATGATAAGTCGGAAATTGGGAAGTGGTTGCATTATTGTTTCGGGCTTTTATTTCTACAACCAAATGACATTGATGATTTTTATTTTTTCGAATTGTATCAGACAGGGCCGGATCTATGGAGGGGCGAACAGGGGCGCGCGTCTCCCTTCGCATCTTGAGGGGGCTGCAAAACGAGAAGACACTGCCTAACTTTTTTTCATAAAACATACATATCTGGCGATTTTTTTAAAAAAAATCATTATCTAATATTGTGCCAACTTGTAACACATCTTCTGATAGAACAGCCGACCACCCCACAGTAACCTTACTCAAGGTTCCCTGTATTATGCTGCCCTCTCCGGAAGAAATAGAGCTTTGACGTTCGATCACGTAGATTATAGATTGTGGGGGAGTCGTTTCGGCTATGGTATTGTGTTGAAGCTCCTCCTTTTGCGAGGCCACCTGCTTCTTCGTTTCCTTCTATGCCTCAATGACCAGGAAGCCACATCAGCGTTACCTGGTTATGTGTCGCTAGTGTTTTTAGGGTCTGTTTACACTCCCAGACTAGTATTGACGTGCATTTGAAAGCCCTTAAGAGGGGCGTCTGATAGGAGCCAGCGCGCCATTTTTGGGCTTTATGAGATACATTAGGGAATTATTAGGTTTGTTCCAGCAGGCTATCAGGAATGTTGGCAGCAGCTGCTTGTGACATGCGCAATGACAAATTTGTGTTCCAGCAAAGAAATGTTAGTGACAATTTGCAAATGTCAGCTGTTTCAGCAGACGTTTGAAACATTTATAACGTGTTGGCAACTGCTCGAAATGCTTGTCGATTTTCTTCAAACATTTCAATTCCTAACCCAGCTTTGACCTTCACCTTTGATCAAGGTTCCACCTGATCAATTTTTTCATTACAGAATTACAATGAAAATGGCGGCCAATGCCAAGCGGCAAGCAATGAAATTGGCGCCATAAATTTAACTCAAACAACCAGGAGATTTTTCATCAAAAAACTGTTTTTTGTTTATTTTGTGGTGTTCTAAGGTGATTTTTTAGTGTTTGGAAGGATAATTTTCGAATTTTAGGATGCGAAGTTTTTCTTTCATGAAGGTATTAGTGAAAAACCCGGATGTTGGCAGAAGGTATGAGTTCTTTTTGACAAACCTTTATCTACTAAGTAATTAGGCACCTACCTACTCTCCAGGATTTATTTTCTGTTTAGTTTTTTCTCAACCAAATCTTGAAGCTTATTGTCTGCTATTCAAGGTATCAACACAAGTTGAGGATAGTAAAAGGCTTGGATCCATACAACGTTTATGTGAAAACTATACTTTTTTTTTTTTTTTTTGAATATCTATTCTTTGTTTATTTTTAGTTTAATCACTTTTAATTCTTTATACTTTCTCTTCTCATGTTTTCATGTGCACATATTAATACCAGATCTTTACTTAATAAATTTAATATTTTTCAAGATCATGTTCTTTTACATAACTATGATGTCTTGGGGGTGTCAGAGACGTGGCTGAGTGCTGAAATTCACGAGAATGCTCCGCAAATGAATAACTACACATTTGTAAGGAGGGATAGAGAGACGAGAGCTGGTGGTGTTGGAGTATATGTCAAAAACAACTTAAATTTTACTATTCTTTTAAGCGAGAGTAGGGAGTATCTTGAGCAAATCTGGATTAAGGTGACTAACTCGAATAATATGTCTATTGTTATAGGAAATGTTTATAGGCCGCCTGACACCAACGAAAAAATTTTTTTTTCACATTTTGAAGATACTCTTATATCCATGTTCACCTCCTATGATCACGTAATCTGTATGGGAGACTTTAACATAAACATGTTTAATTTGTTGTCAAATAGAACGCTAAAATTTGTTGAATTATATGAAACTTTCAGCTTCAAGCAATTAATAAACAGCCCTACCAGAATAACAAAGAATACAGAGACATTAATTGATCTGTTTCTATATAATGGGGAAAATGCAATTAATAGTGGTACAAGCGATATTCAGGTGTCTGACCATCACCTTATTTTTTGTGAATTTAACTTCCAGCTGACAACAAATGCACCTTGCACATACTCGTACAGATCCCTTAATAATATTGACTCAGAAGCATTTTTGAGAGATTTGCGCAAAGTGTCTTGGCAGAAAATATTTTACCTTGAAGAAATAGACTCAAAAGTCAATTTTTTAACATCAAATATTATAAAATTGTTTGACTGTTATGCGCCAGTTAGAACTGTCACTTCTAATAAAAAACCCTACGCTCCCTGGCTTACTGAAAACGTTCGGCTAATGATAAAGTTACGTAACCGTGCTCTTAATAGATTTAGAGCCACAAAAAACCATGCTCACTACGATTATTATAAAGATTTAAGGAATTTGGTAACCGCTTCTATTCGACGGGAAAAAAAGGCTTATTTGAATCAGAAATTTCAAACTTGCACGCAAAAGGAAAAATGGTCAGAATTAAAAAAACTTAATATACCTAGTCAAACAGAAAAGTAATAAATACATTCCGAATAATCTTAAAGATGTGAACGAACTTAATAAATACTTTGTAGGTTCAGACAGCTCCAATGAGGCAAACATGGGGATAATTAACTACTATAAAAACAATCCTATAATGCCCCCCAATAGTTTTAGTTTTTCTCCTGTTACAGAACTCGAAATGATCGAAATAATTAAGAATGTTAAAAGTAAAGCATTTGGAGACGACAATATTAATATTACTTTAATTCAAATGTGCTGCCCTACTATAGTGCCCCATTTAACACATATAATTAATGTACCTATGCATTGAAAAGTCATATTTTCCAATAGGGTGGAAGCGAGCCAAAATAATTCCTCTACCCAAAATAAACAACCCTACTGAATTTTCGCACCTTCGTTGTATTTCAATTTTACCAACCTTTTCTAAAATGTTAGAAAAGGTATTGGAAAAACAAATG